GGGGGGGGGGGTTAACGGTCTGAAAGGGAAAGGGGTGGAGGTGGGATCAGGGAACAAGAATAAAAGGGAGGGAAATGGCGCTGGTCTGGCGTGAGAAACCAATCGCACTGCTTTGCAGACGGGTTCCTTATCATATGACTACAGTCAAGGAAAGTGCAGAAAAATGTTGTCAATTATAATTAAGCTTGAAAGTAGTTTATTGTAAACTTTAATCAAATTATATTCTTTGCATGAAATTTTGGCTTATAGTGTTGACTTATATTACACTTATTTTTAATAAACAATTAACAATAAACAAATGTACTCTCCAATACTGTACAAATACCGAAATTCTTCTGTACTGTTAACACAGACAGTACACTATTTGGTTCCTTATTACACAAACACACTCTTTTGGTACAGACACACGCATGACTTTTCCGCCCCCTGGGTGGGATGTACTGAAGTGCGTAATAATAGCAGCAATAAATTTTGTCCATGTTGGGTCAGAAATGGGTTTGCATCGACTAGTATAATTAAATTATGCCATTTTTGTTTTAACACAAAAATAACGTCGTTTTTATTAAAAAATTGATAAGGTTTTAAGATCTAAATCCTAATCTGGGGGGGGGGGGCTTGGGAAACCAAATTTGGAATTTTTTGACATGTGCAATCACATGACTGACTTCTGTGCACACAGTGTGTGAAATTAAGCAAGTTTGAGACCGAGCACGCCATCAGCTTCATTCCACCAGACGGGGAGCACGAGCTTATGAGATACAGGACTACCAAGGTGCGCGCACGTAATTACTAGAATTATTGTAAAATTAAAGGTTTCCTGAATTAGAAGATGAAAACAAAATTCAAAAAAGGAAATTGCCTTTTCCATTAAGGAATTTAAAGAAAAGTATGCTTGATCAGCACTAAGTTTGTTTACATTCCTCCAAGAAACTGCAGTACACTTCCTTGTATATCTTCCTTGCTTTCACTGCAGTACTTAATTAAATATTTATTCCGATTCTTTATAATTTATTGGGCTAGATCAATTTATAAATTTAAAACTGATCTGCGTTATTTTTTTGATCTGCCTTTCATCAATTGATCTATATTGAATGAATTATCTGTCCTAAATTAACTGATCTGCCATGATTTAATTGATCAGTCTTGAATTTATTGATCTGTTCTGAATTTATTGTTCTGTCCTGAATAGGTTGATCTGCCCTGAATTGATTGATCTGCCCTGAATTGATTGATCTGGTCTGAATTGTTTGATCTATTCTGAATTGATTGAAATGTCCCAAATTGACTAATCTGTCGTGAATTAATTGATTGGTCTGTCCTGAAATGATTCACCTGTCCTAAATTGATTGATCTGTTCTGAATCAATTGATTGATCTGTTCTGAATCAATTGATTGATCTGTCCCAAATTGATTCACCTGTCCTGAAATAATCAATTGATATCTCCTGAATTAATTGATCTCTCCTGAACTAATTGATTCTTGAATGTATTGATCTCTCCTGAATCAATTGATATGTTCTAAAACATATCATGTAAATTGAACGGTTTTAGTTGTGATTAAATTAATTTGATTATTTTTAAAACATTTAATTTGATTGTTTTTTAAAGGATATCTCTCTTCCGTTCCGTGTTATTCCTCTTGTACGGGAGGTGGGAAGGTATGTTATTTATAATAATGATAATGATAATGATAATGATAATGATAATGATAATGATAATGATAATGATAATGATAATGATAATGATAATGATATTACCAATAAAAATCTTTTTCAATTTCCATTTTATTTAGTTTTTAGTCAGTAACTTAAAGTAAACATTTAGCTACAAGAGTTGACATCTAAAAGTAATAAATATTAATTTATAACTTTACCATCTTCTAGATCTAAGCTTGAAGTGAAGGTTGTTGTAAAGTCAAGCTTTAAACCAAGCCTGCTTGCACAGAAGATCGAGGTGAGGATAGTTTTCTTCAATCACAACCATTTTTTTCAGAATCCAGAAATATTTGTAAAAATATTTGGAACTAAAAAAATACTTTTATCTCCACATTCTCCAAATGTGTTTTGTTCCTTTAAGTTTATTTAATAACTAATTTAGTTCTAAAGAAATCGCAGGAGCGCTAAGATTTTTTCTTGGGCTTATGTAATGATGGTTAATTGTTTGTTTGTTTGTTTGTTTGTTTGTAGCCGATTTCGATCAACAGTCTTGTTGTGTCTTAAGTCTTATTCAGTCACAACGGAATGTCAGGTTGCGGAACATTAAAAACAAAGAAATACAAAATTTGTCGAAGATTAAAGAGTCAAATTTTTTGGATTTATTTTCTGATTTTAAATCAAACAGGAAAATGTACTGCAGCAGAATAAATAAATTTCGAGAAATGGTTGAACAGTGTTGGCGTGGTTCAATCACTTCTCTTCAATTTGAACCGGCACTAAAAAAGCTGTTCAGCTACTTCTAAAAGTACATGAAGTCTGGTCCCAGAAGGCCCAAGAGCCCAAAAAAATGTTTAATTACATTATTTTTGATATTTTAGATCCGTATTCCGACTCCATTGAATACTAGTGGAGTTCAACTTATCTGTATGAAGGTATGTATTTTTTATTATTTATGTATTTATATTTACAAGATGGTGAAGGGAAGGGGGGGGGAATGATACTTCATTTGTACAGATTTTAAATAGTCTAAATATTCCATTTGAAAATCCAAAATGCGAGTTTTTATTAGAATTTAACTACAGTCAAACCCTTAATAACGAATATATCGAAAGAATTCATCAAATGTCGTATTTTTCACTTTCTGATAATGGAATGTTGCAGATATTTAGTTTTTTAATTAAATGATTATATAGAACTCTTTAAAACTGTTCCCGCATATTCATGGCTATTTATTTATTTTCTCAAATACTGAAATTTACGTAATATAGTATAAAACTCAATGAAAAATTGTCAAGACGACATTTGATAAATTCTTCCGATGTATTCGTTATTAAGGGTTTCACTGTAGCATGGCAGATTGTCAAAGATTAATGTTACTTTTATTGAAAATATTAATAAATGATAAATAATGAATATATTTTTTAATTTATTTTTTGTATTTCAATATTTTGAATTATTGATTGAGTCATATTCATTAATCAATTTATTTCTTATTGATTAAGTAATATGTTTAATAAATCGTTTAAATGTTTGTTTATCGATAAATTGATAGATTAATTAATTGGTTTGTGACTGGTTTATACATTAATTTTAAGTTACTGATTGATTGATTGATTGATTGATTAATTGTTTGTTACCAGGGCAAGGCTAAGTATAAGGCGAGTGAGAACGCCATTGTCTGGAAGATTAAGAGGATGGGCGGCATGAAGGAACAAACACACCTAGTTTTCTTATTGTAAAAAATTAATGTTAAAATTATTTTCTAACATTCATTTTTAAAAAAATTAGGTTCTTCAGTGGATCATGAAAAGTGTGGAAAAAAGAACTGAATTAAAGTTAAGGTTTTGATAGTCCAAAGTTCAAATTTAATGAATTTGAGCCGCGTCTCAAATCCGCCTAAATCCGGTTACAATTGAGCGCCGGCTTAAATCTTGTAACATTGAATACAATTTTAAGTGTAACCAACCATTTTTAAGTCACATCTCAAATGTAAGCCGCGGCTCAATTTCTTTAAATTCGGCCTCAAAAATCATAATGAACATCAATATTGCAGTGAGCAGGGTAAACAGATCCATTTCGCTTGATAAGTTGATGTTGGCAACACTATTTTCTTTATAACATCTAATTAAACAAGATTGCGAAAATGTCGATTTTTCACACTTTTATGGACCTTCTGTAAAATAGGGAAGTTCATAAATCTTACGCGTTTTATCTTTTTTTTATTGCATTAAATAACTGAGCGTGGGTTTGGGCGGACAGGAATCCCAGATTTCGGCTGAGATTGAGCTTCTGCAAACCGATACCAAAAAGAAGTGGACTCGACCGCCGATTTCAATGAACTTTGAGGTTCCATTTGCACCATCGGGATTCAAAGTTCGATATCTCAAGGTAAGTCAAATAGACCATTTATATTTAGTTGCTGGATACAATTACGTAACTGACCATTTTGGCTGTCAGCCACTGGGATGTATCACTAATGAACGGGCGTTAAATATTGTGTGTTAGCCTGGATGGATTCCTGGCCGCATGTAGATACGCCGCACTCTGAGGGCTGTCTAGGGGTTCCATGTTTGGTTCCCTTTTAGATCTTCTTATTATTATTAGACTAAAATGTCTGTCGGTTTGAGTTCAGAGCTGAAAACTTTAGAATGGGATATCCTTAATCCCGATCTGTTAATTAATCTGGAGATTAAGTTCATGAGGAGAACAAGCAATATTTAATCTGGAGATTAAGAAAAAGAGTGGATTAAGCGTTAATCCTGATATCCACCATTCTAAAGTTTTCAGCTCAGATCTATTTTCTTATGTATGGTGCAATCAGCACACCAACAACAAACTATAGATTTTTTAGTTGCCAGTGTTTTTGTTAGTTCAGTATTTTTTATCTCTCTTTTTTTTAAAGCAGGGGAATTCATATTAGAAATCGATATTTTTGAATTCGTAAAAAATGGGACGTCATATAATCTTGGGAACTTTTAGAAAATTATTTCTGGGTAAATTCGTGCAATCATTTTCCAAAGGAGGTAGGGGATTAAGTTGAGAAGGATAATATTCGAACACGTAAATATTGTTGAAATTATGTTTTCTTATTTATTACTTAGCTTGGGAATCCAGCGTTGCCCAGGTTACTCATAGTTACTCCCGCCGTTTACCCGCACTTAGTCGTAAATCACAATTTTAGCTATTTTTCCCGACCCACTCAACTTAGGATCTCAAACCCAAGCAAAGAACATTTCCTTAGTTCTTCCGAATTCCGCAATTAAAATTTGAGGCATATCAGTCAAGGGTTTCCTGCGTTATAAAGGAACAAACAAATATACAGACAGGCAAATAGAGATTACAACTTTATATATGTAATAGCTTGGAAACCCAGCACTGCCAAAGTTACTAAAAGTTACTACCACCCTTTACCCGCATTTGAACGATTTTACTGGGAAACTAAATTTTCGCTATAAAAGTCGACCCACTCAACTTAGAATATCAAAACCAAGCTATGAACATACCCATGGGTCTCCTGAGTTCCCCAATCGAAATTTGAGGCATATAGGTACGGGATTTCCGAGTTATGATCGGACAAACAAACTGACGGACAAACAGAGATAAGATAAAGAGTATTGTTTTTTTTTCTAGGTATTCGAGCCCAAACTGAACTACTCTGACCACGATGTGATCAAATGGGTTCGATACATCGGTAGATCTGGCCTCTATGAAACACGATGCTAAACAGTGAACTCAGTGTTCGTCATCAAGCAGAAGCCGAATACAAAACGCATTCCGAGTTTTTAGCCTGAAACCAAAATCGCAATATTGTGCATTTTAATTTTCTCCTCTTTCTAGAGAATAGGATAGATGTAAAATGTGAATTTAGATCTTTTAAACGTAATTTCTTGTCTTAAAAATATTATTAATAATTAAAAATATCAATTATTAATGGATATTAATTTTAATGTTTATCTTAAAGTATATATTAAACCCGTGTATTATTGTTAAATCATCCATCGGTATTATGTAAAAACTAGATTTCAGAAAATCCGCGAAAATGGACAAATTGTTCGGGAAGAAACCAACGATGAAAGAACAGTTGCGGGAGAATGACAAGGCTATGCGGAAAATAACAAGAGATGTGGAAAGAGACAGACGGTGATATATTTGATGCTTATGTACAATGTACAATGCACAATGTACTTTTTACAACGTAAAATGTACTCTGTCTGTACAATGTAAATATTCAATGTAGGCACTTAGTACAATGTATAATGTCCTCTGTACTTTGTACATTGTACATTGGACATTGTACATCGTACGACTTATTAATGACGTTTATGTGACTAATATATGATCGCAACTCTATCTTTTAATTTGACTGTCAAGTTTCTAGGGAAGTCTTAATTAAATAGTTAGTTAGATACACAACGATTGTCTTATAAGTAGAAATCAGGAAAATATTTTTCTGTCTGGCCAAGAAAATTCCGCAATTTAAAATAATCAATTATGATTTTTGCAGAAGTAATTCGGTTATATGGGTACCGTTTTGAATCGGGCATGCTCCAATAAATAAAGGGTCGTTTGAACGTCCCTTTAAAGAAGCTTTCTCTATTTTTGAAATATTTTATGAAGATTAATTGAAAAGAAATAAGTTTCTTTCTATTTCAACAAAAATTTTGATTTTTTGGAATTTATCCTAGTTAAAAAGTATACGAAATTTCAAAGAAGAATCATATCCAGCTAAATATCAAATATAGATTTTTTTGAATTAATTAAAAATTATATGCAAAAGTGGAAGTTTATATCAAGATTCTAAATAAATATTTTCGTTCAAAATACGTTAACCGAAAAATATAACCGTTGCCAAATGAAAAAGAAAAACGGGTTTTCAAAGAGATCCTTTCTTAATCATTCGTCTGTTAAAGAGAAATAATGTGTCGATTTATCTGTTTTAAACTTGTAAGTTTCATTTGTATTTTGTAACAAAAATTTTAGAAAGATAAATCTTTCTTTTTGATCGTACTGTAAGTTAGGTAGGACTTTTGAGCTACGGTGTTACCCACTTAAGATGAGACTTGATTGACCTGAAAGTGGACAGTTGTCATCCTTATCCATGCAATTATAAATTTGGTTCCTTCCTTGTCAATTATTTAAAATTTCATTCAGGGATTTGAATTACTTGATCTGTGGGTTATACTTAAATTGTTTAAATTACTTCAAAATTCAATTAAATTAAATAATAATTGAAAATTTGACGACTATCCTTCGAAATTTGGCTTTGTAAATCATTTTTGTCAAAACAAAACCAAATTTTACATTTATTTAAGTTTATTTTTAGAAATAACTTAAAAGTTTTTTGATCAAATATTATTTTATTTCAGTGAGTTGGAAAGAGAAGAGAAAAAGTTGGAAATGGAGATTAAGAAAGCAGCTAAAACCGGAGATAAGCAGGTTGGAACTTTTGAAAATGATAATCTCTTCAAAAAGCATTATTCCGAATCTTTGTTGTCTGACAGATTTATTCACTTATTAATATTAAAGTTTCCATTGTGATTATTGAGTTCGAGCGTTTTAGATTAGCGCCATTTTTACAACAGTTCCGTTTATTGGAAATACAATGTATCATGTAAATATATGTTCAGAGCTGAAAACTTTAGAATTGTGAATATCATGATAAATGCTTGATCCACTCTTTTTCTTAATCTCCAGATTAAATATTGCTTGTTCTCCTCATGAATTTAATCTCCAGATTAATTAACCGATCGGGATTAAGGATATCCCATTCTAAAGTTTTCAGCTCAGTATTGCGAATATCAAGACCAATGCCTAATCTCCTGTTTTTGTTAATCTGCAGATTAAATTAAGTTATATTTGATATCCAGAAAAGTGTCTAAAATTCAACCAACCAGAGTGTCGTTTGCAGAAACGAAACAGCCACTCAGAAAACGGGAAATTTAACATTGAGAATTTAAGAAAGGTTGTGGAGCCTGTTCTTTAACCCTTTTCTGTTAGGTTTGGCCATGAGAATTGAACAAGTCTTAGCAATATGCCTTTAAGAGAATTCCGATTGAATATTTGTTTTTAAATAATTAAGTTTTATTTGTTAGGTTCTAACAGTTCTCGCTAAGCAGTTGATAAATATAAGAAAACAGAAAAACAGAACGTACCAGGCAACTAGCAGGGTAAGTTATGTTTTATAAGCAAATTCGAACTTGTTTTTACTGGGCAATTATATATTCTGTTTCCTTCAACTTAAATGTTAACATGGTTTTAAATGTTATGATATAAAAGTTTTTTTTTACTTCAGTAAGACTAGTAAAAGAAAAACAGATATTCCTGCAAGTCGGGATTTTAATATCGCTACCCAAAGAAAGGTTGATTATTAAAGGGAGTGTTCGCGAAAAATGAAAGGGGGTATAGGCTTACGGCGAAAAATTAAAATATTTTCTAAAAAGGACTTGGATCGTAAAAAAATCAATTTTATTTTAAACAAATCATTCAGATATTACAACCTATAGTCATCGATTATTTTTGATGCATTTTTATATAGGTTATATTTCATAATATTTTATTTGTTTTGTATACAATGAACTTAAAAAGCCGAAATAGAACGCCGCCAGGTCCAGGTGTCTCTGCTCTCGATGCTTTGAATGATTATACGTGACAGAGACACCTAGCGAAAAAACCTTGTTTTAAGTGCATTGTATATAAAACAAATAACAAATACACTATTTTTCAGTGTAAGCCTATACCCCCTTTTATTTTTCAATGATCAAAGACGACCATCAAAGTCGTCATGCTACTGTCATGTTTCGTGGGAAACCCTGTTGTTTACATTTTTAAAAAGAAAACAGTTAATTAGCGTATTCTTTGCGTTCATTGGCGAAATTTTAAAATATATATGAAGAAAATGGGCCGAAAAATTTCCCGTGGGGGGGGGGTTCATGTGAGTCACCCAAATTTGTTCTGACTTGATTAGATTAAGAGAATAAGTTTTTCTGAAATTCTATTAAACGTGTGATCTAGGTTCAGGCTGCGAGTAGCTCCGCCAAGGCTATGGGAGCTAACGTTAAACTCTCCGAAGCTATGGGCTCTACAGCAAAGACGATGGGTGAGATGAACAAATTGATGAACCCGGCTCAGGTGGCTAAAACCATGCAGGTGGGACTCATTCCTTTTTTTGTACTTCTGATCTCTGCCTTATTCTCTCTTTTTCCCTCTTGTTGAACAAAACCACTGGATTCCGACCAATGGGAGTTCTCTCATAAAATGGTGCGCAAAATTTCAAATTCCTGGCTCCTGATTAGCTGTTTGGGATTCTGCATACTCACTCTGATTGGTTGAGTTTTAGATTAAAAAAAGTGGATATCAACCATTAATCTCGATATCTTCAATTCTAAAGTTTTCAGATCAGAGGATAGCGCATAGTTTCAACTCCTGAACTCGATATTTATTACGAAAACGTTTGAATTAAGGTTAACCTTCATTTATCGAGCAAATTGTCTATTCCTTTAAATAAACCGTCGAAAAGATTTAACAGCTTGAACTAACATTTGATGTTTTAATTCTTTTAGGAGTTTGACATTGCAAACACAAAAATGGGAATGACGGAAGAACTAATGAATGATACATTAGACGATATCATGAATGAGAGGTAAATTAATTCGAACATGAAAATAATATACTGTAGTGAGAACCAGAAAACAGCGGAATTCTCGGAGTCATCTTTTTTTTAAATTGTGTATTGTTAGTTAAAATTAAAATTAAAAAATAAATGTTAAAAAATATTCTGAAAAGATATAAAATATGGCTGAAGAATTTTTAATTTGCAACTTTTTCAATTGCCTATCCATTTAATATTGTAGTGTACTGTACTTTTCATAAGTAATGTATTAATTAATTCAACTTTTTCAAAAGTATTAATTGCCTAAACATTAATCAGTTGCAGCACTTGAAAATAAAAAAATCTTTGTGCCATTTCTTATAAAACGAATAACAAAGACGATATTCTTTGCACAGTTTATTTGGTTTTAACTATTAATATTGAGCACATTTTTAAATGATGTTATTTTAGCGGAGATGAGGAGGAAGAGAATGCCATTGTCTCACAAGTTCTTGATGAGATTGGTATAGAACTTACTGGAAAGGTTTGTCGCCATTTAATTTTAATGTTTTGCAAATTGTCGCTATAGTTTCCATATTTTGAAGTAATACTCTTGGAAGTGTTTCTTAAAAATATTAATTTAAATTTTTGTGCTTTTTCTCAACGTAAAACACTTTCAGTTTGAATCTTGGAAACTATGCAATTTCCCTCGAATTAACCGCCATTTTTCAGCTGTCGAATGCCCCGTCTGCGCACAAGGGAAAACTTGGCGGAGAGACGATATCAACGAAGAACAAAAACGCAGATGACGAAATAGAGAAAATGCTTGCACAACTCAGATCATAAAAGAAGGGGAAACTTATTATATTTAATATAAGATCGTATTACCCAATGTCAGTTGTATAAAAGTAGCTATAGGGTTATAAAAAGTACACAGGGTCCTAATCAATATATTAGTAAAAGTCATCTTTAAATGATACTAATCTGTATTAAGGCCAAAGTATAAATTTTTTATCGTAAAAGCAACTTAGTAATTATCTATAAATTAAAAAGTTAATTATGAATAAAAAATGCTGTGATTTTTAAATTGTGATTTCATGTACAATTTGTACATTTATATATTATATAAATATTATTGCTATATTATAACGCATGTACGCAGGGGTACTTATTAATTAATTAATTTTGAAAAGTCCTTATTAGTCTAAGTCGATAAGTCACTCGACCCCTCAGCCACTACCTCTAAATACTGAGATGTGAGCCTCAAAGCGAGGAAGTTTTATACTTCCGGCATGTTTACTATATCTATAGAATCTTATTTACGGAATTAGTATTTAAAGTTCTGATTTCTGTATAAATCTAGTAAGTACTTGATTAATATACTCTGTACAAATTGAATTGCAAAATAATTTTTTCTAAAAAGAACCTGATCATTTGCTTCAAACTCTAATTTTCTATCCTTACGCCATTTATAACATCTGCCAGAGTAAATAGTTTGAAATGTTTAAGGTTTTCGCCATCAAATAAGGTTGTCAATTTTAGATTATGATGCTAGTAATCAGTTTCTTTGCGCAATGATATGTACACAATTGTACACTGTACATTGTACACTGTACATTGTACACTGTTATTGCACACTGTACATTGTACACTGTAAAGTATTCATAATTCACTTGATTGTGTAAACATGTACTTGATGATGATTTTGTTATTTAAGTCCGGAATTAAGTATAACCGTGCGTACACATATATTTTCCTTGCTAACGTACTAACTATAGACATTAAATGATTTTTTGTCTCATAAATATCAATGTTATTTAATACAAGAAAAATTATTCAAAAACGTGTTAATCGTGAAACTCTTGCATAAAATGTAAAAAAAACTTTGATTTCTTATATGCAAGTTTTGCAGGGTTGCTCACTGTCCACACAAATCAACTTTAATTTTAAACACAAAAATGTGTGTATCCTTAATTTTATAAAACTTGCGACATGGGAAACTTGGGGGGGGGGAGGGGGGCTGTGGTTGGAATCCTGAAAGGGTGGGTGGGAAATGTTTGTGAAGAAGTAAACGCCCTGTTTTAACATATTCTTGACTGAATGTTATGGTTATCAAGTGTATTAGAGACGTGAGACTTCTGAGCCGATGACTGATCAGTTTGATAAGAAATCTTGTTTCTTCCATCTGTAGTTGAACAGATTCAGGATAGGAAATAATTAACAGTTTAAAGGGACTGTAGACGTAATTTCAAGAGACTCTGCACTTACAGGGACATTTCTGATTCAAAACGGTACCCATTAAATCTTAGTCTGATCAAGATATCCATTACGTGCTCTTTGAAAATATATAGTATTTGATTCCTTGTAAATTGACTTACGCATTTTTATTACAGTGATTATGTAGTAAAATGTCAGAATTAGACAGTTTTCAAGCTTTAAAGAGGACGACATCTTCCCCATTTTTGATCAGATAAAGGTTTAAAGGATATTCGACAGTCCCTTTAAAATACAAAATTTTTAATTTGAATAGATGATCCCGGGACTGAATTTAATGAGTTTGAGAGGTCTCTGAACTACCTACGCCGGTTCAAATCCTAATACACCGATTCATATCTTCATTCAGGGTAAACTTGAATCAGTAATTCAGGATTTGAACCAGGGGTAAGTAGTTCAGCGTCCTCTGTATAATTTTATCCAGATATCAAACATAAACCAAAATTTCAACTTCTTTGTTTTTTATCTTAAGGCCAAAAAATATTTGCACACACGATCAAACAATAATTTGTTTTCTAACAGAAAATTATTTTTCAGATAAAATGTTTCTTGAAACATTTAGTTTCCTTATTTTCCATCTTCTCTTTCCTCCTTTTATATTTATCATTACACTCACTCTTGTTTTAGGTTAGTAGCCATTCAGGGGTGTTTATTTTCTTAAAAAATCATACCCCCCCCCTTTTTGAAAATGATTTTTTTATAGTTATATATGCTTGCTTGCTGAAAAGAGGAAATAAATGAGTTTGGGTAGAAAGTATCAAAGAATAAAAAAAGTTGCCTTTTGATGCCCAATTTTACATTTTTTTCCAAATCAACAAAAATCAAATTCTGTAAAATATATAAACCCCTGTAGCAATTTATTTATTAATTCACAATGGTGTCCTTAACAGCTTTCTCTGATCATGAATGAACGAGATGTACATGGTTTTCTTTCAAAAAGTTGATTTTATGTAATAGAGGTTTCTTTTTAAAAGTAACTTGCGGCTTAATGCTACAGAAACAATGAGAAAAAAACTAAAATGTTGTCCACAATTGTGATCAGATCAAGGTTAAAGGGTTCTATTGTTAATTCAAGCTTTCCCCTCTTTAGATAAACGACAGTTCCTTTTTTGTATTCATTTATGATACTCAATTAATTATTGGTATTCATTCAATCATTTATTCATGCATTCAATCCGCGCCAGTTTTTGTATTTATTGTCAGTTATTCATTGGTTGGTAGTCATTCATTTATGAGTTTTAAATCGTGTATTTGTATTCATTCCTTTGTTTGTTATCATTCATTTAATCTGTCATTCTTTTTTATTCATCCTTTCATTAATTAGTATTCATTTATTCAAAGAATATTCACTATTCAGTCAAAGTAAGGTTAGATTTTCTATGACTCATTACTAATAAAAGATAAGATTTATCGGGAAACTATTGATTAATATTTTAGATACATGGTGTCCCAAGAAACAATTTAGGCTTTATTTAAGAATTCGAAATTTTTAATACCTCCGGTAATATTGACAGCACAAAAAAAGACGGACCAAATTTTGTAATCGTTATGTGAACGGTAAAATAATTTCAAATAATTTCAAAAATCAAATTTCAAGAAGTTTTGCCACCGTCATGTTTCGTGGGACACCTGTGGCTCATTTCATATTTGTTTAAACAGGGTGTCTCACATCATATTGGACCGTTAATGGCTCTAAATAAATATTTTCAGGACTAATCTGAAGATTTAAGAAGAATAAATCCTTTTTTAAAATTATTAAAGGCCAAAATAAGGCACTGTATATATTTCATTTTCTAATTCAGCATCATTCGGAAAGAGTTTGGGCATCCGAAGGCTATATGTTCGTGTTCTTCTGAATATATTCGAGGTAATTATATAAAGTTATCCTTCTTATGTGAATGTTTTCTAAAACGTACAGTACACTGAAAAAATTCTCAAACTTAAAACCGTGCTTTTTTACGTCTGTACACTGTACAGGTTCCTAATCTTTAAAACGTCTGTTGTTATGTACAGTACTGATTCTAAAACTTATAAACGTACTGCTGTATATCTGTGCTTTGTATACAAGCTCTCAAACTTAAGAACGTACTGCTGTAATGTACAAGCTCTTTAACTGCAGTACAACTAAATATATTACAGTTTGCACGTTATGTGTCTCTAATAACTAAATATATTGCAGTATGCACGTTATATGTCTCTAATAACTAAATACATTACAGTATGCACGTTATGCGTCTCTAATAACTAAATATATGGCAGTAAGCACGTTATGTGTCTCTAATAACTAAATATATTGCAGTATGCACGTTATGTGTCTATAATAACTAAATATATTGCAGTATGCACGTTATGTGTCTCTAATAACTAAATATATTGCAGCATGCACGTTATGTGTCTAATAACTAAATATATTGCAGTATGTACGTTATATGTCTCTAACAACTAAATATATTGCAGTATGCACGTTATATGTCTCTAATAACTAAATATATTACAGTATGCACGTTATGTGTCTCTAATAACTGTATATCTGTGTAATGCACAAGCTCTTTAACTGCAGTATAACTAAATATATTGCAGTATGCACGTTATGTGTCTCTGGATCGAGAAAGAAAACTCTCAAGGTTTAAGGTTGGACAGGACTCAGAATCAGGTAAAGACTTCTAATGAATAATGGACAATGGTTGACTCGGTGTTTTTTTTTTGTTAGTTTGATTTGATTTGTTTGACAGAATTATAGTTGAATTAGAAAAATTGTGTTTTTAAGCTAACGATTTTTGTAATTTCGATTTTGATTTATGTTTTGTAATCACAGTTTAGTTGGATCATTATCAGCCACACAAATATGGAATAAGATGAATGTTTTTAAATATTGTTTTCAAGCCGCCATCATCTTTAATATACAAAATAAAACTAAAACTTTCACGTTTAATTTTAATTTTTAATGGATTTCCAACAAAAAATAATCAATATTTTTCTGGTCAAAATTCTTGGGGCATTGGGGTTCAGTCGTTATGAAGTTTAATATACAAACGAGCAAACATAGAAAAACATTGTATGTATTACGGAACTATAATTAAATAATTTTAAAATGATGACATTTATAATTTTTATTCTGTGGAAGATGATGAACTTGAATCAAGCACGACCTACAATCAGAATTCAACAAACTCAGACTCTTTCGTTAAATATAACTCAAAGGTATAAACAGGCTTATATATTATTTTCTCCTGGGAATTTAAGAAATTGGACTTCATTCTCTTTGTGATCAAAGGGGGAGGAAACGTATTACTCTCCGGAAAATTTAAACAGTGTGCAAACATAACTTAGCATCGTCGTAGGAAACTATTTTTTTCATGTGAACAAAATATGTTTTGTGCAATGTGCATGCATTTTTCGGGTTTAAAAAGATTCGAGCAAAAGTGCGCGGGCAGATAAAGGATGGAGATCATAAAAAGAAATCAGGATCATCAAAACTTATTTTCTGTATACAAATGATGGCAGTGCCAGATTCACAAAGATACCCTTGAAACATTTATTTGTTCAATAATGTGAAAAAATTTTAATGATTGCAGTAATATAACAAAGCAACAAACCAAAAAAAATCTAATTGTAAACAAATAAACCAAATCTGTTCCAGGATGAGGTCCCTTCAGTCCCTGGGACCGGAGATGGTGAGTTTGAACTGGACCGTCCTGGACACCTGGATAGACTGGTTTCAAGACATAATGTTATCTCAAGGTATTATTCTATATCTATATATAAATTTGGCTTGTCTGTCTGTTTGTTTGTCTGTTTGTTTGTTTGTTTGTATCCAATAAACGTCAAAACGGCTGAACCGATCGGGCCCAAATTTTTTGTGGGACATCTAGGGACCCCAGGGAAGGTTTATGAAAAATCAAAATTTCAAATATTTGTCTCTATCAAAAATCGATCGTCATTAAATTTTAAAAAATTTTGAAAATCCGCGAAATTTTTTGTAAAAATCCACGAATTATTTTTGTTTTGTTTTACGATGTACACAAAGAGAACATGTTCACAACTAATTTAGAAGATGGGCGCGAAGCGCCCTCTAAGGCTAGAAAGAAGGGCGCGAAGCGCCTTGAATTTCTAGTATATAAATACTTGGCTTGTCTGTCTTTCGGTTTGTCCGTTTGTATCCAATAAGGCAAAACCGATCGGGCTCAAATTTTTTGTGGGACATCACATGATCCCAGGAAATGTTTTGAGATGGTTAGAATTGAACAAATTTGCCTTTAAAAAAATGTATTTTTCAAAATCCACGAAAAAAAATCTATAAAAGAAGAGAGATTAAAGTTAAAATCGGATATTGGTGCGAAGTGCGTTGGAAGTAGAGTTCTTAATTACTGATTACTGAGCTGGGAACTTTTGAATGGTGGATATCGGGATTAAGGCTTAATCCACTCTTTTTCTTGATCTCCAGATTAACATAATCTTGCAAGATTATATTAAAAGTGTATTAAAAACGATAAAATTCAAATTAATATTTAATCATCTGAGAAACTGTAGCAGCCAATCAGAGAAAAGCGGGCAACCAATGAGAGAACAGAAATATTCTCATTGGAGAAAACAATTAACGGATATCCAAGGAGAGAGAAAAAGAGTGGATTAAGGACTAAAATGAAAAGTTTCCACAGTGGATATTCGGATCAAGAAGTCAGGATTAAAGTTTATCCATTCTAAAGTTTTCAGCTGATAACTCAACCAGAGGTCGAAACTTCTGTATTTTAATCCCTTCACAAAACACCTAATCTGGATCTGTTTGTAGTTCGGTGGATTAAATTAATTTCTTCTGAATATTTTTACTAAAAGTGTTCCAACTAGTTATAAGCCATGTTCCATCTTTAAATTAATCTATTTAAAGTGACACTTTCTTAAGTCGGGATTTAAAAAAAAATTATTGCGGATCCGGAAACAGTTTATTAAACTCTCTGTTTTCTAGAAAGGATAATCTGATTCTGATACCAGACAAACCAGCTCCAGCTCCTATACAGGTTGAAAACTTTTTTTATTGAATGACTTTCTATCTTTTTGATTTGTCTGTTTGTATCCAAATAGCATGGGGACCGATCAGGACAAAATATTTAGGATCTCACATGGTCGATTCGATCTAAAATTTAAAATTTTGGTGCTTTAAAAGTTTTGAATAACCGTCATTAAAAATAAGAAAATCTGCTTATTTTTTATCTTCATCATGTACAAAAAGAAAAAAAATTATCATGTACAATAAAGAAAAAATTATAATGACGACAACAATTTAAGGAGAAGCATATTTTTTCGAAATGTTTATCTTTGATCTAGGAAGAGGAGGAGATGGTAGGTGACTGTATGTCTAAAATGCTCCTGAACAGAGTAGTTTCTGCTAACACTTTTCAGAGAGAGTTTGATCTCAGGTGTGTGGAGTTAATTTAGGGAATAAAAAATAGGGGATTTTTACAGGGTGGGAAAATATTACGCTTTTAAATTTTTTTACCAAAATTTGCACCGATATTTATGCTTTTTTGTTAGGCTTTTAAGTTTACTGTACGGATTTTTTTTTCAAAAAATGAACGGTTTAAGAATTAAAAGGTAAAAGTTGTAAATCGGACAGGTAACTTTTAAAATGAAGGGTTGAACTTGAAATTACATTATCATTTCAGTGATGTTCTGGATTATGTTAAAACGGGTGTAGCAGCTATCATAGAAGATGAAGTTACTCAAAGGTGAATAAATCTTTTATATCTGAAAATATATTCAGATTATTTTAGAATAAATCTTTTTAATTGATAATTGACATTTTACACTAACTCTACACAAACTCGTCAATTTTAGTGAAATGAAGGAATAATTGTACAATGTACATTACAGCTGAGCATAAATATAATATTTACTTTTATATAGTATATCGAACTGTGTATATGTTTATTCAATTAACGTCTGGTCCAATTTTTTGTGGCAACTTTTATGACCCCATGCTAGGTTAATGGACTGTCAAATTAAAAAAAATTTGGCCCCAAATTTTTTAGAGAATGAAAATAAAATGGCGACCTGAAGAGTAACAACTAAAAGTTTAAATTGTTATAAGAAAAGGGGGCACTTGGAGCGCGCAGGGCTCTAAAAGCCTAGTCTGTAGATTTACTTTTTTTTGTATCCAATAAACGTCAAAACGGCTGAACCGATCGTACCAAATTTTTATGTGGGACCTCACATGACCCAGATAAAATCCGTTAACTTTTTTTGTTTTTGTTTTACAATGTTTGCAAAGAGAAAATGTTCACAATTGAAAAAGAAGACGAACCTAGTATCTTAAATTTGCATGTATGAATAATCGAATCTAAATAAAGTTTTAAGATATGCATTTTTTGAAAATACAATTTTTAAGTAAAAATGGCAAAACTATGTTTAAAATTTGTATTTCATCAAGTTATTATTTTGCTTTCAGATACTGCGTTCTGTTCCCGGGACGATTAGCAATCCTTTTAGTTGGGGTAAGTTTGAGGATTTTTTTCTCCATTTTTATCCTTCTAATCCCATTGTGGTTGAGCTTTTTTTGTCTAATATGATGGGGGGGGGGGATTCCCTTTGACTTTAACGAAACCATGTTTTTTGAATTCCCCCTCTTGGGATTAAAAAATACTGTTAAAGATATACTGGTGTCTCACACCTCTATTCTGATGTATTTCATCTTCAACTCTCTGATATTTGTGTGTATTTTCCAAGCTAATCTTCATGGTTTCGTCCTCTGCGTTCTGTGGTTTAGTTCCCATTCTCAGCTGGAGACGTTGGCTCTACAAGAGGTTCGAGGGGTTCACATTTGTCAATAAAAAGTTCATCAACCTAGTCAACATTTCAATGCTGGCCACAATGTCGGTTTTCCGTTAGTGAAATCACCATCCTAATTAAAGAAAATGCCGATTGAAAGAAAGTAATTAGTTGAACTACAGAAAATTGAAAACCCAGGCTTCATTTTGGATTTAGTATAGTCATTTCATATATGGAGGTAGGAAGTATGATTTGATTTGATAGTCAGTTTGGCAGAAAGGGTTGGTGGCATATCCCTCATAGTATAATTTGTTTTAATTTTTTCCTTACAGTATGGGGCTCCTTAGATATTTAGTCAAAGATCTTTGATATGATTTTTCTATTATTGATATTCGTAATTCATTTTGGAACTAAAAAGAGGGGAAAAATTAACGAAATGAAGAGCGAATTTTATAACAAAAGAGTGGGATGTCAAAACTAAAAACATAAAACGAAAAGAATATTTTAAACATTAGGAAATATATTAAACGAAAAAATTAAATCCTTGAAGGCCACAGAGATATCATTTCAATTCCTAAATCTAAGAATCTTTGAAATGGTTTGACTCTTTCTTTTTCTACTGACCTTAAATGAAAATATTTATGCACTCAAACTACCAAGTTTTGAACACCTCGCCTCGGCACCACCCAGGTCTGCTCTGACAGTTTTCAGGATTCTCGCCAGATCGTTCTCTGCTGTCGTCAACTTTCATAGGATCGTCAAGCTAATTTTGATCCTTGAGATCGAACATATTGTATTTTTAATCTCTTGAATAAGTAGTAATCACTTTCCTAAAAATATCAAATAATTTCTGGATATCAATCTTTAGTCAGCTTTTATACGTGAATAAACATAAAGGAAGTGTTCACTTAAAGGACTTAAAGAGAATGTAATCATCGTAATTTCAAGTGATCCTTCATGGCTTTGCTCGATTCACAATGGAAAAATTGAAACCTATATTTAATTCATGTTTGCTTTTCTGCAGTAGAAATGCGCATATCACCCTTGCAGAGAAACCACTATTGAAAATGATAAGTTTTCATAAAAATAAATACTGATATCTAATTCATACTTCCAACTATCAAGCATAATAATGAGAATTTGGCATTGCCATCTTTGAATTGAGGGTCACTTGAAATTACGCTTACAGTCCCTTTAATTCCTGAGTTTAAAGTTTTAACTTAGGATTAACATCATTTATTATAAAATTACCGACCATTAGATTTTTTATTTTATTTTAAATTTTTTGTTTTGTTTCCATTGTGTCTCAATTGCTTGGTATCAGTAAGGAGAATAGACCGAAGACTGATGGTATATGTGTGGCCAATCATACCTCTCCAATAGATGTCGTCTTCATGTCATGTGACATTCCTTATGCCATGGTGACAACTGGGTGTCTTGTTATGCCTGCTGTGGGTTGTGTTGTTCCTGTTTATGAGTGGCATGTTCGATTTACAACGGTTCTCTTAAAAGCTAGATCTGATTAAGAATAAATGCTAGTTGATCTATTTTTAATTACATTATTCTCAACTTTGTTTCTTTGCGACTTGAGGATTTCTTGATATAGGAAATTGTGAGTGTTAATCATTTAAATCTTCCTCATTATTGATCAGATAAATGGTGAATCTGACATGCCACTCTTCAAATGGAGGGTGGTCACTTTTATCTTAACTCCCCTTAAGCATGTTACTATAACGGGTTGTTTACGTCCTTTTTCAGATATCCAAACCAGCTATGGCGGAGGAGATTATAATTTAGAAAAATAAGCGTTTTCAGGATTTAATTCTTCTTTAGATCCTTTATATGGGTGTTGGAATGGCGTTTATAGGACCGTTGAGGAATAGTGACTTCAAGAGATGGTTGAATTATCAAGTTTTCACATCATGCTTTCAGGTACTCAAACAATTCATTAAGATGTTTTAAAAGGAAAGGTATATGTGAAATACAAGCGGGTGTATACTGTTCAGGTACTCGTACAATTTATTAAAATGTTTTAAAAGGAAAGGTAAATGAGAAATAAAAGCGGGTATATACAGAATCAGAATCGAATTGCTACCAATCTTATATCTTTGTACTGTGTATGGTACAAATTTATATCATCATGGTTTTCCTGCAATCTTTTTAGGTTTTATCAATAAGTCAACGTTAGTTCTAATATTTCATGCAGTCTATTGCCCCTTACTTCGGCTGATACAGAAACATTGGATAGGAATAAAAGTAGACTGAAGCAATTGATAACTATGGTAATTGATACCACCACCTTTAAAAATTGTAATAAAGGTTATCCACTAAAAATGAGACTATAAAGACGGCCTGTAAATGTAATAACTTGACTTTTTGCATTTAATACAGTCATAAATATAAAAAATACTTAAACAAACTAAATAAATTTCGTAGAGTTGTCTCCAAAGTCAAATCCTTAACATTAAACATCAGGTAGTTGTCTAAAGGAGTTATGCGCGCGTGCCGCGTTGAATTAAAAGAAAGAGATTAGTAAATATAAATATAAATATTGGGTTAAGACACTTTCTGGGCCGAAATCTGCGACAAGGACAGTCCGGGGGGCCGGCTAGAACAGGCTCTCTTTTTGTACTGCGCGTAACTCCTTTGGGCTTCTGCCTAAACATCTTTAAAAATTATTGAAGGTGCTCGGTGGCGCTCTATCGGCTGTGATCCGTTACCACCACACAGAGAACCGGCCCAAGGCTGGTATATGCGTGGCAAACCACACCTCACCAATAGATGTTCTAGTGCTAGCATGTGATAATGCATATGCATTGGTAAGATTTTAATAAAATATCTGAGAGAAGGTGATTTAGACCCCTTCTAAAATTTATAAGCAACCCTTTAGACTTCATGAAATTTATAAGCAACCTATTAAGACTTTATGAAGAAATCACAAAATCTCGACTCAATTGCAAATTAAGAGTCCTGTAGAAAATTGACAGTTTATTGGGCGTGGGGGGGGGGGTGTCAAGACCCACCGTACGCGTAGTATGATTGAATCGATATTTTTTTAATGAGAGTTTCACTGTTTCTCTGAACCGGATTCTAATTTTTTTTGTGTTCTGTTCAATTGGCTTTTTGGATAGCTTAAAGTTAGTTAAAACAATCTAGACTATATCATAATATATTATATGTAAATTGTATGTATCAGATATAGATAGTTATTCCAGTTTTAACGAACTTTTTAGATTTTGGACTTTCAAATGGCACCACACAATTATTGTAAACTTGTAAGGGTTCCAATATCTCAAAACTGTATTCTGTAAAAATTGGTTTTTTAACAAATTTGACAGACAACTGAACTAAAAGACGGATAGATTGAAAATCTTCGTTTTTATCTTTAAAATGGTCAAAATTATGCAAAGTGTAAGAAAATCACATTTCCAATATAAGCTAAATAAACTTATCAGATTTTTGTGGAGTTCAAAAAAACATTTAAAGTTTTAAAAAACGCAAGTAATTGACCATCACTACTTACACTTTTCACTGTTTTAGATTGGGCAGAGGCACGGAGGGTTTATTGGTCTGATCCAGAATATGCTCTCTAAGGTGACTTTTTCACCTTTTTATTTTGTAAATTAAAGAGACTGTTCACGTAATTTCATTCAAGCGACCCTCTGTTTAGGGAGTGCTTGATTCACAATAGTCCAATAGTCCCTTCAAGGCTTTGTATTATTACGAATTAAAGATTTATTCTTGTTTTTAACCTTGAAAATTAAGTACTTACAATTGTGGTTTTTCAAGATAGAAATCAGACGATATCTTCCAGGATCTTGAGAGGCACTGTTGTTAATCGGACGAAGCCCTTCCTAAATTAGGCCCACTTGAAATTTCAAACGCATTCCCTTTCAACTAAAAATAAGAATTTTTTAAAATTAAAGTTTTTTTATTTGGAAACTATTTCAGGCCTCACCGCAAATATGGTTTGAAAGAGCTGAGTCAAAAGACAGATTCCAAGTTTTTAACAGGTTATATATCAGCAATCAGTCAGTAGTAGGGTTGCATATCAGCAATCAGTCAGTAGTAGGGTTATTTATCAGCAATCAGTCAGTTGTACGGTTATATATCAGTAATCAGTCAGTAGAATGGTTATGTATGAGCATTTAGCAATCAGTCAGTCGAAGGGTTATATAACAGCAATCAGTCGGTAGTAGGGTTATATATCAGCAAGCAGTAAGTACTTTGGTTACATATTAACCATCAGTCAGTAGTAGGGTCATATATCAGCAATCAGTCAGTAGAAGGGTTATATATCAGCAATCAGTCGATTGTTGGGTTATATATCAGCAATTAGTTGTAGTAAGGTTATAAATCAGCCATCTGTCAGTACTTGGGTCAAATATTGTCATCAGTCAGTAGTAGGGTTATATATCAGCAATCAGTCAGTAGTAGGGTTATATATTAGCCATTATTCAGTAGTAGGGTTATATAGCAGCCATCAGTTAGTAGTAGGGTTATATATCAGCATTCAGCAATCAGTCAGTAGAAGGGTTATATATCAGTAACCAGTCGGTTGTAGGAGAGTTTTACAGGGTGGCCCGAAAACACGGGAATTTGGAGACGACATTTTAAGCTTATTTCTTTTTTAAAGATGAATTAAATGACAAATTTACCTTCGAAAATATGAATGAGTTGCCACATAAGAGACAGATCGCAATTGGAAATTTCCAGAAATTAGGCAATATTGATGGAAGTAATGTAATTAAATTTTCATATGCATGTCCAAAAGACGGGTTAAAAGCTATCCCTACACTCCCATGTTTAATGGGTCACCCTGAAGTTTTATCATTATCAATACACTGCACTACTTAGCAAATAGATTATCAAGTAATAGGTGGCAATAGAGAAATGGACCAATTATACATGACGTCACAAGTGTCAAATATAACAAGAAAGACAACATTTCTCCCAATAGTTGACACGTTTTCCAAGATTAAATAAAAAATTGTAAAAAACAGAAAATAAGAACGCAAAAAATGCACTTCTTTCACTTTAAGATAAGCACTTTATTATCACTATTATAGATTTTAGTGACGTAAGAATACAGCTGTACTGAAAGTGTACAAATTCTAAGTTGCCATCTATTTTACTTGATAATCTTACTTACCACTTAATCTGTTAGTTGCACTAATCAGTAATCTTTCATTTGATCACTAGTAAAAGGATTTATTATCAGCTGTAATTATCTAATTTTTTATCAGATATCAGCAGTGATCACTGACCCGAGACTGGAGTACATCGTAGTACAAATATATGTTATGTCATTTTTCTTTACTCTGAACATATGTATTAGGGTTGTCCTGTCCTCATATCATTTGCATGTTATCGAGAGAACCCCCTTCTTTATCTGTCACAACTGTCTTCCGTGCTCGATCTTTTCCTGGAATTTTCAGACTAAATATAGCGTTTAGCATCTTTTTGCATGGGCGTTGAACATATGCTTAATTCTTTTTTGGGTTTTTCTTGTAATTGTTACGTACAAATTAAAATTTTTAACGGGATCATGTAAAAATTTTAAGAAAATGTCTTTATGAAATATTGTAGTTTTAATATCAAGCCTTGACTAGGTGGGACAATCTCACGGGGGAGTGATGGGAATTTGTCAACGAAGTCTATCCCGCGCCTCAGGGCACATTTGGTTTCAAAGATCCGAAGTCAAGGACCGAGCAGAGGTTGCGCGCAGGTACCCCTAGCGAATCCGCGGATTTTTATGTACAAACATTGCGCCATTTTACAGCTGATTGACGGCCATTTTGAAAAGGAGAATAGGTTAACATCTTGAAAATTAATTTTGCAAAATAAAAAGACCAAATTTTACAAAAGTATTTTAATTTCAAAATAACAAAATGTTTGCCCAGGTTAAAGGAGCATGTAGAAGACCCGAACAAACTGCCAATTTTGATTTTCCCTGAGGGAACCTGTATCAACAATACCAGCGTCATGCAGTTCAAGAAGGGCAGTTTCGAGGTTATACATATTATATTTATAAAAAAAATTTCAACTCTTTTGAAAAAAAACAAGACGTTAATAATATGTTTAAAAATAAGCTTAAATGCGGAAACGATATTTTTTAATTTAGTTTTGGAAAGTGTTTAATATCGTATGTGAGGATGGGTGTCTAGAGTTCTTCTTTAATACTTTAATCTATTTTCGTAGAAGCTAGATAAAGACAATGTATTTCAAATTATATTGATCATATATATATTCACATTCTACATGTTTAGGTTGGAGGAGTTATTTACCCAGTAGCGATTAAGTACGATGCAAAATTTGGAGATGCGTTCTGGAACAGTTCTCAGGTATGCTGCAAGTTATAAAATAGTGCCCGGTCATCCGTCCTAGAGGAACCTCACCTTAGTTTATTCTGACCTAATGCAATAGATCATGAAATAGATCAGCTTAGTTAGGCTGGGTATAGGTAAGGCTTCGTTTTAATGGGGAGTCAATTTATATCAGTATAAACAAGCAGGGAGTAAAAACTACTCGATATTACTCTACCTTTTGGTTTGGTACACTAGGTCAGTTTCCACAGTATCATAGAAAATAACTTATTTGATTTTTTATGTCCTCACTTTGTTTGGAATAATCTAATAGAGTATGAAGTACAATAGGTGGCAACAGAGAAATGAACCAATTATACACGACGGCATAAATGTCAAATATAGCAAGGAAAGTTTCCAAAGATTAAATAAAGCAGTTTAAACACAGAAAATAAAGAACACAAAATTGCACTAATATGACCGCAAGAAAAGGACTAAATTCCAAAATTATCGCTATTATTAATAATTTTGTCGGACACAAAAACTAAGTTAACAACGCTTGTGACGTAAGAATACAGCTGAGAGTGTACAAACTCTACGTTGTTATCTATTTTACTAGAATCTATTTTGGAATAATAACCAGAGAATCGGGCGGACCGCTGCCCCTACGCACCCATATAACTATGGAATGGGTGGACGACTGTAAGCCTCAATTTATTATTGTAAATAGTCCAATGTTCTTTGTACTTCATACGTTGATTTTTTGTTATAGACAACTAAATCTATTTGCTTTTTTTTATCAAATAAACATAACTAAAATTGATTAAATGTCCTCTTGTATTCCAAAGTTTGGTCCCGGTCCAGGGATACATTTCATTTGTTTCGACCCCCCGTTTCATAGAATAATTCTGTAAATAATTAGATGATAGACATTTTCTTAGTCTCCATTTTCTTCTTATTAGAGCATCTTCCATCATGTTCGGCTAATTTTGAAAAAAGAAAAAGAAAGAAAAATTATGACATCCTTGCAATTGCCGAGTTGCAAGTTCCAGAACTGATGAAGAGGCCTTTCTTTAATAATGCTAATGTTGATTAAGAACTCGATGGTTTCCTACCTGATAAAGATGATGACCAGCTGGGCTATTGTCTGCGATGTTTGGTATCTACCTCCTATGACCAGAGGAGAGGTAGGTCAACTCAAATTTCAGGAAAGTAAGGGCTAAACCGTGGTTTTGGCCCGAAACTGACAATGTCCAGTTTCGGATAATTTAGCAACAGCCAGGTTTGGAACCTTTGTCCCCTGGATATGAAAGAAAAGTATATTCCAAATGTGCTTGGGAAAAGTGCTTGATTTCATTCGAATCCAGCACAGAAACAGTTCTATTATCAATAACCTGAAATAATATAAATTGATTAATAACTTGGAAATCATCTTTGACCTTAGAAATAGTTTGCGACATTCATTAGAGGTACAACGTGATTCTAGCAATATTTGTTAGCAAACAATAATCACAAAATAACCCTTTTTTGCCATTTTCATAATCAATGTGGTTCTAAAAATACCAGAGATATTAAGAATTTTGTTTAAATAATAATTCTAATGGCAGGACTAAGTTCATTAAAAAAATATTGCAAAATTCAGCTTACCTATGTTATATGCCGCAAACTATTTCTAAGGTTAAAGACGACTTTGAAGAAATCAATCAATTTATATCGTTCCGGGTGGCAGACGCTGAACTCCTACCTTCGAGTGTGCGAGGTGGGGAAGACTTCACTGCCGCGCTTAATTAAAAGCATGATTAAGGGGGGATGACATTTGTATATCGAGATTGAATCCTAGCCGCAGCGCTCGGCCCAGAAAGTGTCATAACTTAACCTAACCTGTGCTAGTCGAAGCGCTCGGTCCAGAAAGTGTTCTAACCTAACCCTAAATAAATACTAATTTAATTGAAAATTGTTGAAAAAGTGGTTATGTACAAAAGTAAAATCTGCAGTGAAGTCTTTCTCTCCTCGCACACGAAGGTTGGAGTTCAGCGTCTGCCATTCCGGGTTATTGTTCTTCCCAAGATACAGTTTACATCTCAGAAATAGTTTATCCTATTTCTTTTTAACGAAGCAAAATTTACAATAGTTTACCCTATTTCTTTTTAACGAAGCAAAATTTGCAATAAGTTTTTGCAAGATAAATGTTTTTTCGGATTTTATTTCTTTGGAATGATTGTTGACTGGTTATTAATATAATTATTATTATGATGATGATTATTATTGGAGATTATGATTATCAATAAGATTTTGATAAATATTATTATAATTTTTGGCATTGGTATTGGTATTGGTTAATGTTAATGTTAATGTTAATGTTAATGTTAATGTTAATGTTAATGTTAATGTTAATGTTAATGTTAATGTTAATGTTAACTTATTATTAAGAATGAGGACGCTATTGAGTTTGCTAACCGTGTGAAGCATGAGATAGCTCTGAAGGGAGGTCTTGTAGATCTTGTCTGGGATGGGAACCTGAAACGACAACAGGTAGATTATACAGGGTGTCCCAATAAACAGGGGAATTAAAGGACGATTTCTAAATCGACTTTGTTCTATGCGGGATTTTTTCTAAATCTTATTTTGTAATATAACATTTAAAACATTTACCAACGAAAACTGCTAGTCTCGGGATTTCCAAAATGCTGTCTACCATTTGTTCCCCTTCAAAACTTGATGGAGATATTAGAAAATTTGTTCAGATTCCAGTTCATTAAAATTCAACAAAACTGTTTAAATGTTTAATATCTCGGTCAATTTTCAAAATACAAAGAAGGTAGACCTCATTCTGAAAAGTTATCAGAGCCCGTTCTCTCTAAAGATAGTGGTCGTGAAATTTACGTACTTAGGGGGGACGATAGTTTGGCCGCTAGATATCTCTCATACGAATTATCTCTCTATCACTTCAAAACAACATTTTTAGATCAAGTTTGTCACATCGAAGTCGTCATCTTCTATTAAAAGATTTCGTCTTTGTTTCACTGCAGAAATGGGATATCAGTTTGAGTGGACTTACTCCTCATATTAATATTCCGTGACTTCGGCCTTCCTTCTATCAACTCTTTCTTTTCACACCGTGTGAATAATTTGATTAGCAAATTTTCAGAGCTTTAACGAAAAACTTTCATTTTAATGTTGATGGAGGATATTTTTGACATTTTTGTTCAGATAAAAGTTTGAAGGATACCGTTTTGAATCCAACATGCCTTTTTTTTAATGGAATATTATTTAATTAAAGTCAACTCCCACTTAACGTCTGTCAAAACCATAGTTTAAACTCCAACCAATAAACAAAATTAATTGTTTTTATTTCAGGTTAAAAGTGAATGGAAAGCAGCTCAGCAGCAACAATTCTCCAGGAGAATTAAAGTGGAATAGAGCCCCGCCCCGCCCTACTAGGAGACCACGCCCCTTTTTTCCAGGAAACTACGCCCCCCTTTTCCGGAAAACTACACACCCCCTTTTTCCAGGAAACTACGCCCTCATACTAGGAAGTTCCCAAAATCACACTAACTGCCATAGAAAGTTCCGGACATTACACTTCCTGCCATAGAAAGATTTCGACACCACATTTCACGCCATAGAAAGTTCCAGACATTATACTTCCCACCATAGGAAGATATCGTCGTCACACTTCCTGCCATATAAAGTTCCGGACATCACTCTTTTCGCAATACAAAGTTTCCGACACATTTCATACCATAGTTTCAGACATTACACTTTCAGCCATAGAAAGTTTCCAACATTACACTTTCAGCCATAGAAAGTTTCCAACATTACACTTCCTGACAAAGACAGTTCCCGACATCACACTTCACGCCATAGAAAGTTTCTGACATCACACTTCCCGCCATAGAAAGTTCCCAACATTACACTTAACGCCATAGAAAGTTTCTGACATCACACTTCCCGCCAAAGAAAGTTCTGGACAGCACACTTCCTGCCATAGAAAGTAAACGTCATCACACTTCCCGCCATAGAAAGGTCCCCACATCACATTTCTGCCATTTGATCGTTCCAGACGTTCCTTATTCTCAACAGCATCGAGAAATCAATTTTCCTCAATTTCAAATCATAAATATTGCATAAAATATAATTTTAATACGAGCTTTTAGTCAACTTTCAACAAAACAGTTCACCCAAATTACAACACACGAAAACTACTATTTCGCTGAATATTCCAGAAAAATAGGTTTTATACAAAATTTAAAACTTTAATTGAATCAGTGTTCTCTTTCTGTTGCTCTTTATTATCTTAACTAGTCTAAACGGCCATAAACTATTCAAAATACAAAGTAGATGTGTCAAAATTGTAACATAATAATCAAAATGTTATTTAAATTTTATGTATAGCACAATTTTTGTAATATATAGATTACATTTCTTTTATTGATTTTGTCTTTTTAAACTGTTTAAACCATTTTTATATAAGTCAACAACATGAAAATTAAATATCAGTCGAATCTCGGCAATAAATTTTAGATTCCTTTTAAAAAACGTGCAAATTGAAAATGTTATCTTTTGTAATAAATATTTAAAAATTTTTTTTTCGATTCTTTTTACAGAAACTTAAAATGTGAACGAACTGGAGTCTATTTAAGAATGAATATCTGAGCACTGATGTTGAGGTAGGTCAATAATGAAGTGGTATTTTAAGTTGTTGCTTAACACAATTGTAGCAGCCTAACAGGCATTGAAGAAAATAAGAATTTGTACTAGTTCTAAACTAAATTAAAACTCTTGAGAATTTCTGGCCTGGATTTATACATAATGAATCAAGTTTACCCCATTTTTGGCAAATAAATTGATGGCACACATTCGCGTACATGTACATCTCATTTGCGTACATGTACATAAAAATAAAGGCTCACTCAGTTATTTTGTTATTAGTAAATATTAAGCTTTGTTATATAATTTTCTCGTAGGGGATGGACAACAAAGCGCAACGGTAAGAAACGACAGAACATAGAAGCATAGAAGAGGGAAATTGGTTCGCTTTCCAATAATCTTTCTTAGAATAATTAAAAGTTATTCTACTGTTGAGGTCTCCAAATCAAGGATTTATCTCCATCTTCGGATTAAGAAAATTCCCGTGATGATAATATTATTATTTAAAATCTAGTTTTATAAGTAAACTTGAGTTTGATAAATTTTTGTAGTTTTAGTTATTGTTTTAGAAACAATAGGTTTGCATTGTTTCAGTTGCCATCTTTAATTGTACCGTACTGTATACATTCTGTATAGTGTTCACTGTACGCACAGTGTACAACCCTATTGTGTCTAAATTATATTTTTCATTTGCCATATTTGTTTAACTATTTATAACTATATTACAGGGAAGTTTGAGGAATTTTTCTTAACTAGAGAATCCCAAGATGAAGTTGAGGTTTAAACACCCAAGATTTTTTCCAGGTCAAATTGTTCAAGGTGTGAATATTATATCTCGTAATGACATTGAATTTAAAATTTATCGTCTTTAGAAATTAAAACCAGTGCCCGAATTTAATGAATTTAAGCCGCGTCTCAAATCACCCAAAAACCGGTTTCAATTGAGCGCCGGCTTAAATGTTGAAAAACTGAATACAATTTTAAGTGGAACCAACCATATTTAAGGCGCGGCTCAAATTCTTTAAGTTCGGCCTTAGTTTATTTAATTATTTATATTTTAACTGCTTACTATTTGTAAAAACCATATTGTTAAGTAATCAAGCTTTTTCCACACGCATATTTCTAATCCCCATATCTTTGCATCCGTTGGTTGTAAAGATTTAATATTTCAAATTAAGATTATTTTATATTACAGAGTTCATAGTTTTGAAATATCCCAGGTCTATGAGATCGGGTTGCAAAGACAAAGTGATTATAAAATCAGAGTTTGGGGCAAAGCCTCAATTCCTTTTTGTTTGATCTAAGGAAATTAAGTATTAAATTTATTACTCAGTTTTCACAATTTACGAAGCATAATTTTTTTTAAGATTTGTTTTATTTTGTTTATTTTTATTTGTAATCGTGATTCAAAATAAATGCTTTCTGTCTTCTATTTTTATCCGTAGGATCTTATTATACTAGATACACGTAAACATAGAAACGAAGAGGAGCTGTTAAATAAAAAGCTTCTCTTTAATTACTTGCAAACTTGTAAAAACTTTTAAAAATTCGTCTTCATTGTATTGATATAATCGCCGATCACTGTAGAAATTCAAAATCTAGACTCATGTTATCTCTCTTTCATAATAAAAACTTTTTAAAAATCGTCCATTGTAATGATACAATCCCCGACCACTTTCGAAAGTTAAAATCTAGACTAACGATTTTAATGGTTATTATATCGTTACAACTGACGAGGGTCAACCCAGACCGAAATATATTTTCAATATATGTGGAACTATAACATCTACTTTTACTCTACAGAGGTTTGGTCCATCACTATCACCAAATTTTAAATCTAGTAATGTGATATCTCTTTCATATTAGATACTAGAAATGGTAGGAACATTTTGAAAATTATAAGCAGATTTTGTTTGCACATGCATGTTCAAACATTGCTTCAGGGCACAATAAAAAAACATACAAATCAATTCACTTAGAACTAGCCCTTGAAATGCTGAGATATATGTTTCATCTATGTATATAAAGTTGTAATCTCTGTTTGCCTTTTGTCTGTCCGATCATAACTCTGGAACCCCTTGACGGTTTTGTGTTAAATTTTGACTGGGGAACTTGAGAGAGCCCTGGGATTTTTTTTGGCTTAGTTTTGAGATTCTAAATTTGATGGGTCTACTTTTATAGCACAAATTTATTTTCTCGGTAAAATCGACCATGTGCGGGTAAACGGCGGGAGTAACTATGAGTATCCCTGGTAACGCTGGGTGCTCAAGCTTGGTTATACATATACACGTTAGAGCGCATATAACTTTCCGGGTTTATGAAAAATCAATTCTAAAAATTGAATCGACCAAAGCTAAATTTCAAACCAACATTCACGAGTTACCCACCAAGGATGAGACTGAAAGTATACTATGAAATTTAGAAGGTATAATATTCTCTCTTAATGTTTTTTTATGATTTGGTAAAAACTTTAATGAGACATGTAAAGCGGCGTGGAGCCAAAAATAAAATAATTTAAGAAAAAAGATATCTAACTGAATATTGTAGATATATTTCAAATAAACTTATTATAAACATTAATTTTAAAAGAATATATTGTGGGTAACCTTGCATATGTCTATATTATTAAGTATTTAACTGAATATTGTAGATGTATTTCAAATAAACTTATTATAAACATTAATTTTAAAAGAATATATCAAAAATATAATTTAATAAAATGCATAAACAATGGTTTAGGGTCTATACAGACCGATAAAGAAGTTAATTAGATACAGTATATTCATAGATAGGTAAATAGATAGATAGATCTCATCTTTGAAAAGTGTACTTTTGTACGTAGATCTCTTAAAGTTGTACTGCTGCAGTACTCCTAAACAAAATTATATTAATTACACTACTAAATTCTATATAAAGATTTATTCACACACAAAGATTTAAATACATATATTAATGTTTAATTAAATTTTTGAATATATAGTTTTTCCAAAGAAAAACATGCAAAATTATGCAAAAATAGGCGACATTGATCATTACTCATTACATAACAAATTTATCATATTTCTTATTACGTAATCATCGAATCCTTCAACATATACATTATTCGTTCTTGTATTTAAAAGTTCTTCGTGGTCCAATGGGACATCAAAATATTTCATTTGTTTCTTAACTAACATTTTACTAAGATCAGAAAGATTTACAGAACAATCATTTGCAATGGAAAATAAATAAAAATAAATAAATGTTAAGGTAGTTTTTGCATAAATTAGAAAGAAATCTAATGCAAAGCTTAGAACTTGCTTCAATAGTCTCATAGAAAGACACAAATCTACAAGCTAACATAGTTTTTACAAGTTAACATTGTGAAATACTTTCAATCAAATACCTATGCGTATCTCTAGATACATTAAAAATAATTCTAATAGCCGTATTTCATGCTGTATACAATTTTGAAACACATTGGAACTCAAGTCCCAAATACTAGATCCATAAAAACTAACAATAAATATTCTACAGTTTCAAAATAACATGTGGTCTATTAAAATAAACTTTTTAGTTAAATAATTTAGGATAAAATCCCACAAGCTCTGATTTTCTAATCCATATATCTTAATCTGACGGTTATGGTCCTTTGATGTTTCTAACTTAGACTATTTGATGTGTCATCAGGTTGTGAAGATGTAAGGATTCGAAAACTACACTTTCATCCGAGTTATCAGTTAGTAACAAATTTACTGCCATTGTACTTCTAATGTACTTCTTATTATGATATATTTATTGTATGGTTTTTACAGTACTGCATTGTACACGCCCTAACTATGATTTCAGGATGCCATAAGTGTACTTCACTGTACTAACGTTGTACCGAACACTTTAAATCAGAATGTCTAGATGTACTGTACTAAAACTGTACCCGATAACGTCTGTATATTTTAGTGTACTGTACTATAATTGTACCTGATGATACTTTATTATGATGTCTGTATATTCAGTATTGTACTGTACTAAAACTGTACCTGATAATACATAATCATGATGTCTGTATATTTTTCTGTACTTTACTGTACTGTACTGTATTAAATCTGTTACTGATTATAGATAATCATGATGTCTGTATATTTGTACTGTACTGTACTGTACTGTACTGTACTGAACTAAATCTGTACCTGATAATACTTAATCATGATGTCTGTATATTTTTACTGTACTGTACTGTACTGTATTAAATCTGTTCCTGATAATACATAATCACGATGTCTGTATATATTTTTACTGTACTGTACTAAATCTGCACCTGATAATACTTAAACATGATGTCTGTATATTTTTACTGTACTGTACTGTACTGTACTGTACTGTATTAAATCTGTTCCTGATAATACATAATCATGATGTCTGTATATTTGTACTTACTAAAACTCTGTATTGTACTAAATTTGTACGTGATAATACTTAATCAGGATGTCTGTTAATTTTTTGCAACTCTACTGTACTAAATCTTTACCTTCTAAGACTTAATTTTGATGTCTGCATATTATATTTGTATTCTACTGTACTGTACCTCATTATGATGTCTGGATGTCTGTCGTGTTAGCTGTTCTTGGTTTGTTATGGTACGCAATCTAAAGAAATATATATAAACTATATATTCTATATACTTACTTTGCTTGGGTGTCTGTTTGGGTGTTTGACTGTTTGTTTTTAACCAATCAACGTCAAAACGGGTGAAACGATTGGGCCCAAATTTTTTGTGGGACCTCGTGTGACCCCAGGAAAGATTTATGGATGATCGAATTTTCAAAAATTTGTCAGTATCAAAATTAGATCTTTGAAAATTTTGTTTTTGTTTTGTTTTGTTTTACATTGCATACAAAGAGAAAATGGTCACAATTGAAATATAAGATGGGCGTAAACAACCCTAAAAGCCTAGTAATATATATTTAAATATATATCGCAAAATTCATCTAGGAACTAGGATGAAAAGCTATTAATCTAGGTTCTAGGCAGATCTAGGATGAAAGGCTATTAATCTAGGTTCTAGGAAGATCTAGGATTAAAAGTTATGAATCTCGGTTCTAGGAAGATCTAGGATGAATAGTTATGAATCTAAGATCTAGGATGAAAAGTTATGAATCTAGGTTCTAGGCAGATCTCGGATAAATAGCTATGAATCAAAGATCTAGGATGAAAAGTTATGAATCTATAGGTTCTAGGCAGATCTAGGATGAATAGTTATGAATCTAGGTTCTAGGAACATCTAGGATGAATAGTTATGAATCTAAGATCTAGGATGAATAGCTATGAATCAAAGATCTAGGATGAAAAGTTATGAATCTATAGGTTCTAGGCAGATCTAGGAGGAAAAGTTATGAATCTAGGTTATAGGCAGATCTAGGATGAATAGTTATGAATCTAGGTTCTAGGAAGATCTAGGATGAATAGTTATGAATCTATGTTCTAGGAAGATATGGGATGAATAGTTATGAATCTAGGTTCTAGGAAGATCTAAGATGAATAGTTATGAATCTAGGTTCTAGGAAGATCTAGGAGGAAAATCTATGAATCTAGGTTCTAGGAAGATATAGGATAAAAAGTCATGAATCTAGGTTCTAGGAAGATATAGGATTAAAAGTTATGAATCTAGGTTAAATGAAGATCTAGGATGAAAAGTTATGAATCTAGGCTCTAGGCAGATCTCGGATGAATAGCTATGAATCAAAGATCTAGGATGAAAAGTTATGAATCTAGGTTCTAGGCAGATCTCGGATGAATAGCTATGAATCAAAGATCTAGGATGAAAAGTTAAGAATCTAAGATCTAGAATAAAAAATTTAGATGAAAAGGATGAAAAGAAATGGATCTATAATCTAGGATCTAGGATGAAAAGAATTTGGATTTATAATCTAGGATCTAGGATGTAAACCTGGTGTTGGGTCAGTTCGTTTCTAGTTTTAAACTCAGCTCCACAGAACCCACATTGGTATCCGTCCCAACCCTGCAGCTTATACTCACAATCCTTATACTCTCCCATACCTAAACATTCTTAGTCAAATCTATATATAATATATACATACTGTGCTTCTCTGTCTGTTTGTTTGTGTCTATCAAATGTCAAAACGGCTGAACCGATCGGGCTCACAATTAAACATTTTACTCGACCAATTTTGCCTAAACATATTTGGTTTTAACTAAAAAAAATTTCATTAACTTCCCTGTAAAGTAGATGCAAATAATTAAAGTTGAAATAGTACATTTGTTAATTATATCTTTTTCTAAATTACTATTGGACTACTACCGCACCAAATTTAATTGAACTGAGTTTTGCCACAAACTCTTATTTACAAGCCAATGTTGGTACACCTTTCAAATTATGAATTCTGTTCGATCAAATAGTTAAAGTTTGAAATATCAAAGGTTTGCCCCCATCAGGTTGCAAAAATATTTAAAATATTTGAGTTTGCGCAGCATAGAATTCCTTTCACCTTAGATTGTATTCTTACATTTTTTCAATCATATATCATGTTTGTAGTGCTATGGGAAGAACTAACTTCCTTTCGCAGATTTCCGGGTTAATATTGGTGGATTCAGACAAATTTCAAGTTAAACTTTTATAAAAGACATTTTTTTATCAGCAAAAACCATCCTTTGGACACATTCAGGTCCGACTGCATGGAAATTCGGGTTGAATCGGTTCAGTCGTTTTTCCAGATAGAGTTAATATTTTCAGCACCAGTTGGGGCCTAAATAGTAATACCCCCTAGAAACCACAGATCTTAATGGGGGGGGGCTACGTCTTCTGAAGCCCCCTCCCCTCCTGTGAACAGGAATGACATTTTTTATATCTTATAAGTCGATTTGACCTTGTTAAATGATTAAACAATTACAAATTAACAGAAAAAAACGAAAGTTGGTTTCGTTTGAATTTGAAACACTAATCAATTCTTGATAAAATTAAAGAATTCTTACTTTGCTTGTTGTGCAACGGGACACCAAGAAAAACTGATAAAAAATTTTCTTTTTTTAAAATATGTAAACCACCCCCTCCCTATCCCTCCGACATGTCTAGGAAGTCTATACGTCTGACCTTAAAAAAATGTCTAAGATTCCAATTTTCAGGATAATCTTGAAATTATCATTCAAACCTGTCCTTAACACCCCCTTATATATTAATTTATATATCTTATCGCTATAAATTATAAACCGATAAACCCGTAAGAAAGTTTTTTTTGTGTACTTTCAACTTAGCTAGAACCTGTACAGTGTATACCATGTATAAATATATATATATATTTGTGTAAAAGGACACCATTTCCCTTTTATTTATATCAAAATTCAAAGATTAAACAAATCATTTCATATTAAAATATCTCTCATAAAAAATAGAAAATTATTTTTTGTGTTTCAAGTTTCCCTGAAAAGGTCGGTGAAAATATAGTGAAAGTCGAAAAAGGGTTAGGTTGCTTGGGAGGGGGGGGGGGGGGGGGGTGTTCAGACACATTATACTTGAAGATTATAATTCACTCTTGACCTTGAAATTCTTATTCCACAGTATTTTTCTAAGAATTCTTTAACGTTCTTCTTCATTTTCTTTCTTGGGATTGTTAAAAAATATATCAAGAAGATTTATTTCATAATTAAAGTTGAATTTTCAACAATTTAATAATTTGAAGAGATTGCGTGTGTAATTATTTAAAGTGTCATGAGAAATGATTTATAGACGGGAGTTGGAGACTTAAGACCTTTTCGAACGTAATTAAATATTTTGTAATTTAGAACAAATATATGAAAGGAAAACGCCAGGATACATTTTGATAAAGTTATTTAATATATAATTAAAGCAAACAACTTCTAAAACGCAAAAAAAACGTTTCAAATCGTGTCAAAAATATATTTGATTTTTAAGATTTGCTCACTTGAAGAGAATAAAACCCACCTCCTGTTTTCTGCACGCAAAAATTTCAACTGCTTCAAAGGCAACCAATTCTGCCCCACCCACCCCCACCCCCACCAAGTTTTTGCAATTTAGAACCCAGTTTTAACCCCCTGGCCCCGGGATCCGTCCAGAAACACGCAAATTCCCAAAAAATCCACGCGTCTTGCCGCTGACTGGGCTTTTCTACTGTTGGCATTTATTTTTGCGCAACTTTCCTCCTTTCTCTGCAAAAAAACTCCCGCCAAATTCAACAACGTCAAATTAAATCTTTAACGTGCAGTTTTGTGTGTAATAAAATTGCAAATATCCAGGACAGGGGGACATAGTGCATAAACTTGTTGGAGAAAGGGGGGAGGCGTTTGCCCCCTTAAAAATCTTTTTTTCAAAAGTTTGTATACACCCTCTTCATGAAGTACGCATTCCTTCCTAGCGATAAAAGGGAAGAAAATCATAAAAAAAAGGAAGCTCTTTATGACGAATCTTATTAACGATTGGTTCGGACTTTTTCAAGGAAATATCTTTTTTAGTTTTATGATATTACTTTCAAATCTTTAGATCCCCCTCCTCTCCTAACCTTCTCCCATAAATTCACCCTTGCGGGTAGCAACCATAGCAACAAGCGTAGAGTCTAAAACCCATAAAATACGCAAAAAAAAAATGTGCAAAAAGTGTAAGCAAGAAAGGAGTCATCCAAAGATATCAAAACTTTTCAAAGCCTGACAATTAATGAAAAAAGTTATGAAAGTTAAGAAAAATAGCTGTTTCGAACAAAATTTGTTGTATTTTTTGCATTCTATGTTTTCTAGTTTTTGGGATTATTTAAATTAGAAAAATATTCAAATTACTTAAGATGAAAATAAATTTTAGAAAGAAAATTTATTTGATATCGTTGTTGTTCTTTCTAATAGCTCAATAAGAAGAGGAATTATGATAAAAACATTCAAAGGGCAAAATGGCGAAATAACCGATGTCCAACGCCCCTGATTTATGAAAAATACCTTTTCTAAACCCAGTTTTATTTCTTCACATTAGCTTTTACTCTATCTTGCTCTTAGCAGTCATTTCTATAGACTAATCTTCTTTCTTTATACTTCTTATATTTACCCCCCCCCCCTAACATACACCCTTCGTCTAGTCGTCTTTTTTTATCCGACGACTAGAAGAGAAAGTGAAAAGAGAAAGTATATGAACCTGGTACAGTACGGAGAAAGTCTTCTTTAGAAGCCTCGCACTTTCACTTTTAACCATTCTTTCTAAACAACGTGGCAATGATGAACTTTTTTACCCTTGAGATCTTACTTTATTTACTTAGAATTCCATAAAGATGAAAAATATTATCATAATAGATGAATACAAGGATAATTAAATAAAAAAAATTACTGATAAAAAGTTAAATGAATATATATATATATATTTCAACATGGATAGATAGATATAAAGATGAATATATAGATAAATGGATATATATATTAATGAGTTAATAGATACAAGGTTACCCACAAAGAATGAGACTATAAAGACGACCTGAAACTCTTTACATTTAATTATTCCAAGGTTGGATAAGTCTCCAGTGATTCAATGGCGTTTTTACTGATTTAACAAAGAACACGACAAGTTTACAGTTTCAAAGAAACATAAATGTTAAAAAACAGATTGTATTAATTCCATAAAATCGTCTCTGAAGTTTCATCCTTTGTGGGTAACCCTGCATCTTTGTTTTACTTGATCAACCCTAGGTTTAAAGTTTATTGTTATGATCGGATTATATGGATAAATACATAAATGAATACATGAATATATGGATAAATACATAAATGAATACATGAATATATTGATAAATACATAAATAAATACATGAATATATGGATAAATACATAAATGAATACATGAATATATGGATAAATACATAAATGAATACATGAATATATTGATAAATACATAAATAAATACATGAATATATGAAATACATAAATGAATACATGAATATATGGATAAATACATAAATGAATACATGAATACATGGATAAATACATATATGAATACATAAATATATGGATAAATACATAAACGAATACATGAATATATGGATAAGACATAAAAGAATACAAATACATAAATAAATACCTGAAAATACAGATGAATACATGAATATAAAGATGAATACATAAATAAATACATGATTATAAAAATGAATACATAAATGAAAACCTGAATATAAAGATGAATAAATGAAAGTAAAGATAAATACATAAACAAATACATGAGTTTAAGGATAAATACATAAATGAATACATGAATATATGGATGAATACATAAATGAATACATGAATATAAAGATAAATACATAAATGAATACATGAATATAAACATGAATACATGAATAAATACATGAATATAAAGATAAATACATAAATAAATACATGAATTAAAAGTTGAATACTTGAATAAGTACATGAATATAAAGTTGAATACATAAATGAATACATGAATATAAATATAAATACATAAATGAATACATGAATATATGAATTAATATATGAATGAATACATGAATATATAGATTTATATATGGATGAATACATGAAGATAAAGATGAATACATAAATGAATACATAAATTTAAAGATGAATACATAAATAAATACATGAATATAAAGATGAATACATAAATAAATACATGAATATAAATATAAATACACAGATACATACCTGAATATAAAGATGAATACATAAATGAATACAAGAATATAAAGATTGAATACATAAATGAAAACCTGAATATAAAGATGAATACATGAAAGTAAAGATAAATACATAAATAAATACCTGAATATAAAGATGAATACATAAACGAATACATGAGTTTAAGGATAAATACATATTTGAATACATAAATATATGGATAAATATATGAATGAATACATGAACATAAAGATAAATGAATAAATGAATACATGAATACATGGATAAATACATATATGAATACATAAATATATGGATAAATACATAAACGAATACATGAATATAAAGATAAATATATAAATGAATACATGAATATAAAGATGAATACAAAAATAAATACATGAATATAAAGATGTATACAAAAATAAAAACTTGAATATATGGATGAATATATGAATGAATACATGAATATATAGATTTATATATGGATGAATACATGAAGATAAAGATGAATACATAAATTAATACATAAATTTAAAGATGAATACTTAAATAAATACATGAATATAAAGATGAATACATAAATAAATACATGAATATAAATATAAATACACAGATACATACATACAGATACATATAAAGATGAATACATAAATGAATACAAGAATAGCAAGATAATTACTTAATTAAATTAACGGAATTTACAGAATACAGCTTTGAAATGGTGGAACCTACATATCACAGTCTAGTATCTTGTGGTCCGAATGTTGTCCTTTTATTATAAATCCATCAAATGATCCTAAACCCAAGGCAGCATGTTCTGAAAATAGTTTTACTTAGGACATTTGGATTTTGTTTTACCCAAAGATTCTTATTTTTCAGAATTTTTTTGGCAATAAATGTAAATTGACTCCTCCACACTTAACTTAATGAATACAGAGATGACTAAGGTGTAAATAAACAAGACGCACGTTGATTAAGCTATTTAGGTTTGATGGTCAGTGAGCCTTTACTTTCGAACAATCGCTAATATTCTTTATTAGTTTTAACTTTAATACTTTAATTTTTCTACATTTGAAATATTTTTTTCTTCTTTAAAGATAGATAGATATATAGGTAGATAGACAGATAGGTAGACAGATAGATAGATAGATAGATAGATAGATAGATAGATAGATAGATAGATAGATAGATAGATAGATAGATAGATAGATAGATAGATAATATTATTATTATTATTATTATTATTATTATTATGGTTAGGATAAAATTACTAATTTCCCGAAAAAGTTCGTGTACACAATTCTATAGTTTTGAAAATGCGCGAATTTTTTCCTGAAAACTTCGCAGAGCAGGTGGTTATTTTATCCAACTGTCCCAAGAGACGTTATTAAGTAACTTTACCTCCCTCTTATAGGGGAATCATAGGACGGTAATGATGGTCAAAAGGTGGCAAAATTATCAATCGTTTCTGGGTCGTTTTTTGTTTATAATTCCTTTCAGGGTCAAAATATTGCATATCGTAAGAAAAGCAAATATAATTGTTTATTCCAAACATTTGTTTTTATTTCACTCTGCCTAGTCAATACTGGATTATCGCCACAGGCTAATTGGACTGCAATTTGCTATTTTTTCTCCTGCAAATATTTTAACAAAGACATCCAAAAAGGGGTAGCAGAGCCCTTTTTTTCAATAATCGGTTGTAAAGGACTTTTCATAACAGGTCGGATGAGTTTTCACATTTTACTCCAAACCCCTGGGAGCAACTCCAAAACCCTGGGAGCAACTCCAACATCCTGGGAGCAACTCCAAAATCCTGGAAACACTCTAAAACCCTGGGAGCAATTCCAAAATCCTGAGAGCAGTCACCCCTCCCACCTTCATCTCCCCTTTTTGTTAATCTTAAGATTATTTTAATCTTTAGTTTAAATCCTAGAAAGTAGCTAAAATGCAACCAATGAGTGTCGATTGCAGAAAACGAACAGCCAATCAGAAGCCTGGAAATTAAAAATTTTGCGCGCCATTTAACTATAGAACTCTCATTGGTCAGAATCCAGTAGGAAAATCCAAAAAGAGGGGGAAAGAGCGGATTAAGCAGAGATAAAAAAATCTCCACATTGAATACTCAGATCTGTACGTTTTAAGATTATCCAATGCTAAAATAGTCAGGTCTAAGCTGAAAACTTTAGAATGAGATATCCTTAATCCCAATTACTTAATCTCAGTATCCAATGGACACACTTTTGATTTTCTTCTTAAACCGTTCTTTCTTTGATATAGTAGAGAAAAATCAAAAATCTGTTTTTTTAAATTTCTGTATGTATGGCACGCAAAATTTCAAATTTATCGGCTTCATATACGCGTCTCTGATTTTATACACTTTTTAGGATACAAGTAACAAGATTAGGTTAGTC